GTAAATAGACGATCAACAGACAGACAATCTAGGTCATCATGCTCCTTTAATTTTATTTTATTTTTGTCTTCATTTCTTTTTCTTTATTCGTTAATTGATCAAGCGATCATCATTGAATAAAGTCATTTATCACTCACACCCTTATTATAACAATCATCTCTATCATTATCTGAAGGACATGATTTTAGACACACGCCCTTTTATTTCTGATTGTTGAAAAATAAAAAAGATATTGGACAGATCATCAATTGTTCGGAGCACTTTAGATGCTTGTCAATCATTTCCTCCTTACATAAGCGCATATTCATCTATATATATATATATAAAGGTATATGCGATGGATGAAGTTCGAGTGATAATCGAAAACAATCCATACAAGCGCTTGCATTGACTGCTTGACATGTAATCGAAACAAATTCCAACACGTTCATACTCTCTTTCTTCTTTGTTAGCTTTCGATAATCATACGCGTGTGTATGTATGTACGTATGTATGTATATCGAATCATTCTCATCCAAAGTTAATTCCTGGTGTCATGGACGTTACGTGATAGAGTGAGTGTGTGTACAAAAAGCTCAATCAAAACGGAAGATATCATCTTTAAAGAAGAAGTCCTTCGTGAATGTAGATCAAATGTGTACCGCAGACGTTTGTGCATACACCAGACAAGATAACAAGTGCAGCAAAACAAAGAAAAGATTAATCAGCAAGAGAGATATTGAAAATAAACAATTATCAACAAAAAAAAAAGAAAAAAAAAAATCTATGATGTTTCGATATTGTTCTTTTCTTTTGTCATACTTCTTACCTGTTCAATTCAGTTAAAATAAATTGAATTTATTATTGATCAATTGTATTGTCATTATGAGAGTAATTTTTTTTAAGTGTTACGAACATTTCCTCTCGTTGATTGTCGTTTGCATCCTTCTTTTTTACTTGTTCTACAATTTAAAACGTCGTTTTTATGTCTCCTCCTCCGTTTATTCTCTCCCACTCATATACATATACACACACATGTATGCATCTATATTGTGTTCATCACAATCACCTATTCGTTATATATATATACATATAGAACATACATATACACTAGAGATCAATAATCACGATGCAAGTAAAAGAGATGGAATTACAACTATTGTTCCAACAATATATATATATATGTATAAGGCCCACTCTTATGCAAGCCGCCTCCTCCTTGTCGCACCTTTTTTTAAGTTATATTATACAACGATGACGAGAAGACTGACATAGCCTAGCCGATAATCGGCATGTTTGTTTTATAATGAGTATAGCCACTGTTTCTCCATTTACATTTACACCCACCTATGGTGTGAACTGTCAGTATGTCTGAAGACATAAAGAATTCCCTTTTTATTTTTTATTTTCTTCTTTTGTATAACACCTCATTTGTTCCATTCATTCATTCAATCTGTCTGTCTGATGTGTCAATCAAATAAATGAGAATAAATTTTCATATGTCATCATTCCTATCATAGTATGTGTATTACAATAAACACGAGTAAAATAAAAATAACAAGTATAGAATCAATAAAAGATGACATCATAATAGTATTATCTATGTACAAACAATTGATATAATACATTAAACAAGAAAAATCGATAAATCAAATAAAAGATAAAAACTATAATTAACAAAGATCTTTAGGTGCTGCATCAACAATACCTTCAGGTCCAATAGCAAAAACTGCATCAGTTTCAGGCAAACATGGACTATCTGCAACATGACATATACGTGAATCACCTTTGCCTTTTTTTAAATAGAGTCTAAGAAAAAAGCAAAAAATAAAAAAATCAAATCAATATAAATTAAAAATAAATACCGTGTTGTTGATGCATGAGCCATAATATTACCACCAATAGGTTTTTTTTGATCACCATACATTGCTTGACCATCAACTTGAGCAACAACTTGATTTGTAAGTACAACAGCAACACCAAACTTAACAAAAAAATAATAAAAGAAAATCAATTTCAAGATATTTTTTTAATCATACCTCATCAGTTATACGTAATAACATACGCATAAATTTTGCTAATTGCATTTGTCGATTAGCTAATTCACCACGACCAGAATAATCAGTTCGAAAAAGTGATGTTGCACTATCGACAATTAATACAGCATATCTATATATTAATAATATTAAAAATGATTTATTTCAAAATAAATAAATAAATAAACCTTGATTCACACATCATAGCTGTTGCCATATACAATAATTGAATTTGATGATCAGTATTATAAGCACGAGCATAAGCAATATTATCCAAAACATCTTGACCTGAAAGACCATATCGTTCAGCAATAGCTAGTAAACGTTCAGGTCGAAATGAACCTTCTGTATCAATATAAATTGCTTTTCCTTCACCACCACCCATATCGATAGGTAACTAAACAAAAAAAAATAAAATATCTTTTTTTGTTGTTGTTTTGAACACGAAAATAATTTACTTGACAAGTAACAGCAACTTGATGACATAATTGTGTTTTACCACAACGATATTCACCATATAATTCTGTTATTGAACCAGTTTCAAAACCACCTTGTAATTGTTTATCAAGTTCTCTTGAACCAGTTGTTAATTGAATAATTTCTGAACGTTTTTGATGATATTCAGTAGCTGTTGTAAAACCCATTGGTATTAATTTAGCTGCTTCAGCCTAAATAATATATTTCATTTTTTAGATTTTATTTCTCAAAAAAAAAAAAAAAAAACTTACAGCTAATTTATCAGCTTTTGCATCACTAATACCTTTAACAGCTAAAAGACTTTTTCTTGGTGCAAAAGCAATAGATTCTACTGTACAAAATCCAGCTTCTTGTAATTTTTTTAAATCTGAATTACCAATACCACATGATTTATCTAATTTTGTAATTGGTGTTGGTCCACCTGAATCACAATCATTTGATACACTTTCATTGATTTGACTAGTACTACAAATAGCAACTGATTGTTGAATTGATGATGTTGTTGTTGTTGTTGTTTCTTTTTCAATTATTGATTCTCGTGTTTTAGTTTTAGGTGGCATTATTAGAAATAAAATATGAATGTTCTAATTCTATTGAAAAATTTCATTTAATTTATAATGAGAGACTAGATTCATATTTAAACAATGACCAACGGTCAATCTTCACATAGTGAGTAACGATTTTCATAATTATTATTCTATCTATATGTTCAATTCATTTATATATTTCAAAAGAAAATTTTCAAATATATTTGATAATATACTTTAGTTCTTTGAATAGAAATAAGATTTCTATTAAAAGCAATATATTAAATATATGATAGATGTCGTCGATTTTTATTATATAATAATGTTTGATTCGTTCAATCAATCCAAAATTTACCTAATGTAAAGCGTTTCTAACATTGATTATATATATATATATAGAAGTTTACTGTTTAGCAACAATATGAGAATTGTTTTATAGTCAGATCTTTATTAAATAATAGAAATTTGAGATATTTTTCAGAACACTTTTACTCAATACAAATGAGTCAGTGTTGAGTATAACAGATACAAGGATTCTTTTTTGTACTGAAGAACTATTTCAATTGATGATTTATTTGATAATTCATAATAAATATTGGCAATAGTAGCGTAACCAGGGGGTGGCCAGGTGAAGCTAAGCCCCACCACCAACTTCGAGATCGACCAGTTGAGCCCCTCCAAAGTTAAAATCCTGATTTCGCTGCTAATTGGCAATCAATATTAGTTTTAAAGAAACAAAAAGAAGACAGATTGCTTACTGTTTATTATAATCATAGCTAAATATTCGTTTGAATTTTTTTTTTTGTTATAAATATTTTTATATGAAAGTTTAATCGACTCTGATTTTGTTTTATTTCTAGATTTATTAATAATATCATATTTTGTTTTATGAAAAGAAAATATATACTTTTTATCAAATAATACATTATAGAATAGTTTATGTTTGGAATGTCAATAATAAACGGATGAAAGTAATTTCCTGCAATATCTACCTTTACCGGAAACTTACATTTTTCACTATTCTTTTATAAAAAAAAAAAAAAAGACATACTTAAAATTTTGAATAGATTTACTACTCATTGTCTAATTTTTATTTGATCACTTTCGAAAAAAATAAAATAAATAATATTTTTAAGTCATTCTTTTTCATTCATGCTATGATTTTCAACTATTTTTCAATTATAGCAAGAATATAGATATTTAGTATTTTTTTTTTTTTGTTATGAAAACATTTACATTTTCTACGGTATTTTTCTTTTGAAGACTATGCTGTAATATATAACCCTTAAGAAGCACTAGAAATACTGATTCTTTGAATCACATCGGCATAGAAATAAGCTTTAATCAGAATAATCTATTGTGAAACTTTCAGATTATGTGATTTGCTTAGATCTACATTGAAACGGTTAAAATATATCAGCAATGTAAAATGTATACTTTCATATTTTAAGATAGGTATAATGAAAGAAATTGAATCTTTTTTTGTTATAAATTACGAGCTGTCTATGTAAAAAATCAGCGTTTCTGATGAAGATCATAACATAGATTTGAAAAATGTGATATCTCTGAAAAGAAAAAAAAAGCTAAAAACTGCTACTATTCCCTCAAAGTATGAATAATTCATTATATTTTACATGATGCACATTGCCTCGATTGCAAAAAAATAATTAATCAGTGAGGAGAACTTCTCTCATGAGATAAGTCTATCATGCAAAGACTTTCTTCATGCCTTTGTTTTTTTTTGTGGAAATTTATACTCTTCATATTATAGAAATAATTTCTTCTAATTTTTTCGATAATAATTAATAAAGATAAAATATATATTTATTTCTATAAATCAAATCTTTGAATCCTTCTTAAAATTCATAAAGATTTTTATCGTTTTGATTTCAATTATCTAGATTAATTCAATAATAATAATAATAATAATAATTTCTTTTTTTTTCGAAAATATTTAATATAAATAATTATTCATTTAGATATGAGTTCTCCTAAAGTATTTTTTGATGTTTATGCTGATAGTACATCTCTTGGTCGTGTTGTATTTGAATTATTTGATAATGAATGTCCAAAAACATGTGAAAATTTTCGAGCATTATGTACAATGGAAAAAGGTTATGGATATAAAGCATCCATATTACATCGTGTTATTCGTGGATATTTTTGTCAAGGTAAAATATAGAATGATTTATTTATTTATATATATTTTCGATTACTTTTAGGAGGTGATTTTACTTCGTATGTATTATCTTTTATAATATTTTTTTTTTATTATAATTTTTGTTTTAATTAATTTTAGTTATAATGGAACAGGTGTATGTATATCTTATAAACAAAAAATTAAAAAAAAAAAACAATACTTTACAGAATTAAATTTTTTTTTATTTATAGGGAAAATCAATATTTGGTAAAAAATTTGAAGATGAAAATTTCAATAGAAAATTTATTGTACCAGGATTATTAGCAATGGCTAATCAAGGTATATAATATTGTTTGATTTATTTTAGGTTTTTTTTTTGAATAGATATTTTTTTTTTTTTGTCTCAAGGATCAAATACAAATACTTCACAATTTTTTATTACTCTTATACCATGTCCATGGTTAAATGGTAAAAATGTTGTATTTGGTCAAGTTGTTGAAGGTATGGATGTAATTAAACAAATTGAAACATATGGAAGTGAAACAGGTATACCTACACGTCGTATTCTTATTCAAGAATGTGGTCAATTGTGAACAATATTAATATTGATGATAATTATCTCGTGTTCTTTTTTTTTTTTTTTTTTGGGTTTTTGTTGCAGTGAAAATCTTATACGCACCGTCCGTTTTTAATTTCTTTTTGTTTTTTTTTTTTTTTTTTATTTAAATATTTTACTCATATGTTTGTATGTGTGATTTTAGGAACAAAAAAGAAAAATAACAACTAGAGAATGATGATGAATATAAACATGAAGTACAACGTATATTTTTTCTGCAATAATGACTATTTTCATATATATAGCAAATGTAAGAAGAAGAAAAAATTTGAGAAAAAAAGAAAAGAAAATTGTTGGTTAAAATAACCTTACGATATGAACATTGCATTTCTCTCCTTCTCAATATTTTTTTCTTCTTCATGACGAGAAAGTAACGGAAAAAAAAGCACTCACAATATTAGTCGGCAGGCCTCTTTTTTTCTTTCTTATTTCTTTTTTTCGCCAGAAACTATAACGAGTGAGTAGAGTAAATTGCTTGCTTTATATTCTACAGATTTCATACTGATTGACAACAAATATGATCTTCTTCAGTTGGCTTTTATTGATCTATTTTACTTTTGTATATTCTGAAAGTATGTTAATATTTTCATAATTATTGTTAATTATTCATCTATATATTTAATATAGATTGTACCGATTATTATACATGTCAATTAGAATTATATGATCGATTACTGACAAAATCACGTCCTTCTATACGTCCAATACAAAATGATTTGCAAAAAATTAATGTTCGTCTTGGATTTTCATTAATCAGACTTGTCTCTGTTGTATGTAACTTTAGAATTCTAGTCAAGAAAAACATATGTTTTTCTTCTTCTTAGAATGAAGATGATTCATTAATAACTATTCGTGCACATATTAATCAAGTAAAGACAAAAAAAAACAACTAATCAATTATATCTATTGTGTATTATTACAATTCATGTTTTTAGACTTGGAATACATCAGTATTTGGTTGGAATTCTACACTATATGCTAATGTTCAACATTTCCGTGTGCCTGCACATTCAATTTGGACAGCAAAAATAGAATTAATTAATCCGTACGAAGTTTTTTTTTTCTTTTTTTATTCATTTTAAATAATCTAGATATTATGTTTCACATTATTCAGAAGTACGACAACCGATTATGAAGCAAATCATTTTATTGATGTTCAATCTAATGGTCGTTTTGAATTATCATATTCAACTCTTCTTACAAGTCCATGTAATTTTGATATGAAAAATTTTCCATTTGATCAACAAACATGTACAATCAAGGTAATAAATATATTGATAATAGTGAATAAAATGATTAAAATTTTTCTCTTTTTTTTTTTTTAGCTTGGTTCAACACTTTATGATATCAACGAAGTATCAATATCACAAGCAATTGATTTTGTTATTGATGAACCAAGTTTAATGCCAAATGGTTATTATTTTGTATCACATACAATTGAACAAAAAGATATATTTTTTGCTGGTTTCGAACGAAGTTATGATCAAATATCTATACATATAAATATTCATCGACGTTCCGAATATTTTATTCGACTTATTAATTTGCCCGGTGCAATTCTTATGTTATTAACACTAACAATTTTTTTTCTTCCACCATCAGCTTCTGAAAGAATTATTTATGGTAATAATAATAATTTGTTTCTTTCTTAAATTAATACAAAAATAATTATTTCTCTTTCACTTTAGGTTCATTATTACTTATTTGTCAATTTATTTTATTAATAATCTTTGCTTTTCATATTCCAAAACGATTAGGTGCATCATGGCCATGGATGGGAAATGCAATTTTTTATGATATTTGTTTAACAGCAATAGTATTAGTGTTTTCAGTAATGACACGAATGCTTTCAGATGGAAATCATTATTCAATTGAAAAGCCATCAACTAAACTACGTTCTGTATGTATATGAACATGTTAATATTTAAAAAAAGAAAAATAAACTCATATTCATTTTAATTTTAGGTATCTTTTTGTTATTTAGCAAAATTAGTTGGTCTAAAACGAATATCATATGCAACATTAATAACTAATCGTGAAAAGTATATATTTATTTATTACTTTAATATTTAAATTTTGACATAATTTTTTTTGTTTTTGTTTTATTCAGTGAATATGATACAAATGATTCAGCAACTAATGAATCAGCTATGGAACCATTAACATCACTTTCAAATGGTTCAACAACAACAACAACAACAACAACATCTGATCTTCTTATTTTATCATCAAATACAATAAGTCGTGATATAACTTCAATAAAACAAAAATTGAATACATTTATTAATGAGAAATGTATTCATCAAGAATGGATTCTTCTTGCTCATATTATTAATCGTTTATGCTTTATTATTTATTTGTTTTTGTTTTCATTCTCAATTGGAAATCATTTATTTCATAAATAACAAAAAATCTAATTACATCAAGATAAAACATTTTTATCACCTTTTCTGTTTTTTTTTGTGTTTTGTATTTATCAAGCTAATATAAAATATTTACTGCTATGGATCATTATTATCTTTGTCGTAACGCTTGATTTACTTGTATATTTATTGCGTTTCTTTTTTTTTTTCTTTCTTTTTTTACCATCTATACATGTGCGACATTGTCAATGAATTGAAATGCATGATATCAAAATAAGCATAAAAAAGAACGTATGTTTGTGAGCCATCAAGAAACATAATCAACGACAATTAAGGTATGTTGATCGATTTGGTTTTTTTTTATGAAATCAAATCTTCAAATGTTATTACAATAGATTTTTTCATTGAATATTTATTACGATGGGTTGTACTGGATCAAAAGGAAAAAAGAAATTCAAAGATACATCATCAAGAAAATCTTCTAGTTCATCTGTACCATATAATAAAGATATTAATGAAATCAATTTAGAACTTTCTGATAGTATGCTGGAGAATTTATTAAGTAAAACAAAATTTACTAGACAAGAAATAATTGATTGGTGGCAAGGATTTTTGGTTGATTGTCCATCGGGTTTATTAGATAAACATAAATTTGTTGAAGTTTATCAATATCGATATCCAGCTGGAAAAGCAAAAGGATTTTGTGATCATGTTTTTCGAACATTTAATCGGGATAACAAATCTCATAGTATTGATTTTGAACAATTCATGTGTGCCATTAATGTAACATTAAATGGTACTTCGGATGAAAAACTTGAATGGGCATTTGTAATGTATGATATAAATGGTGATAAACGTATATCAAAAAGTGAAATGACAAATGTACTTGAATCAATGTTTGATTTATTAGGAAAAGATAAAAAAGGTTCAAACAATCCACGAAAACAAGTCGATCAAATATTTTCAAGACTTGATACAAATCATGATAATTACATTAACCGGGAAGAATTTTTCTCAGGATGTAAAACAGACGAATGTATTCGAGCAATTCTTGCACCATATTAAAAATTATGTTTATTTTTTCTTTTGTTGTTGTTTGATATTTTAATTTAAAACATTCATAAAAAGAATATAAATTCTTTATGTGAACAGAATTCTTTTTTTTGTTTCATTTGTGTATGTAGAAAATTGATGATTATTAACTAAAAAGATGTAGATGTTTGAATATTTTCTTCGTTTTTTTTTTTTTTTGTTAAATTATTTATGTATCAAACTATTGTGATAATAATACAGAATAAAGATGAACTAAAGGTACGAGCCATAAGAAAAAAAACCCTATGAATCATTTTAGAATATGCATTGTCATAGTAATTAAGGTTATTTCCATTTAAAAAGACTAATGATTCATTTGAATGTATATTTACTATCATTTACATTAATTTGGCATAGTTTGTTTTCAATAGCGATCATTTTGCAATTTGTATCAAGTCTTACAGACACGCGATGAAGGTTTTTGATAAGAAGAAACATAAAAACTGAATACATTTTGTCTTTTTTATTATAAAGGATTCGTTCAAGAGTTAAATGTATAAAATCAATATTGCTGATAGTTTTTTTTTTCTTCCAACATCTGAAATGTTAATCAAATTCTTGTCTGATAAAATGACGAAAAAAATATTATGAGAGAATATTTTGGTTAAATACTTAATTTTCTGTAACACTGTATTCAAGGTCAAATAATTATATGGTAGTAAAAGATAATCAAGAATGATTTGAAGTATATTTACTGTATATACGAATAAACATTTGCTTTCATAAAATAAAATTACATTCGTTTGAAGAAATAAAACATCGTCATACTTGCATAGATTATTGATGGTATGATTTGGTAATTTTATTAAATAGAAGCTAACTGAATTGGTAAAAATAATGAGAATATTATTTAAAGTCTATATAGTATGATTTTTATTTTCGATTATTTCATTTAGTCATTGACCTAACAGATACAATGAAAGATCGAGCGCAACTAAATACCAATATTTATTTACTGTAGACTTTATATGCATGACAATAAATTTAATACATTTAAAAATTATTTTGAGAATGATTATTAATTCTTCAGATATTACAATACAGTTCAAAAATACAAGAACCTGTTTTATATCATTAGAAATATAATTTATTAAAGGTAAGGTTCTTTCGTCGAATGAAATGTACAAAGATTATTATTCGTTCTAAGTAATTACAAATAAACAAAACCAAAATGTACTCATATAAAAAAGTTGTCTTCTATTGTCACAAACATGTGATTTCATCAAAACATTCGGTCTTGAGGTTTTTACGGGATTCGATAATTGTCAATGTCTACTTTCAAAAACATTATGATTTATTGAATTTATTATATTTTTTTCACGATTTATTTTCTATAACGTTGTATTAAGAAAATACGAAGCTTGTGTTCATAAACTAAGCTTTGTTTCGTGTTTTACTCAAAGTAGATTTTTTCCTATTCCTATGTCGATAACAGAGTTAGAATTTTCATGTTCAGTTTATTTTTTGATAAAAAAAACAAAAAATGAATGTTTTTCATAAGAGGTACCTTGATTTTTCGAGTTTTTTATTTTGAAAAGAAATTTCATCAGAAGTAAACAAACAATATTTTGAAATAGTAGACCTTGTTAAGTTGTGGCGGCAGGTCTTGAGTCTGCATATTAAAATTAACTCGAAATCTATAAAATTAGATTTCAATGAGTTGTCCTTGTTACACAGAAAACTACTTATTGACATTTGATATATTATGATGACTAACGAACAGCTAAATATTTTAAATTGAAAATTTTATTCTGAACTGTTAAGAGCTGTGTACATATTCTTTTAGATTTTCAATCACATTGGTCATTCGAGAGTAAAAATAGGTTTCTGACAGTGAGATGGATCTTAAAGAAGAATTTATTTAAGACAGATATTTTTTTTGGACTTCGATTTGCATTAAAAATTCAAAGAAAAACAATCTACTTGAAATTCGAAGTATCAAATACACCTAATGTATGTTTTTATTGACACTCTGAGATATTAGAATTCTTCTGAATTTTTAGGTTTCATTAATCTAATCTTATTTTTTTTTAAATGTAGAGAAATCAATCCATAGAATTTCTATTAACTAGTCGTGTAGTAATGAACAACAACAGCAATGAAAAACAAACGTGACATCAACAAACTTTTTACTTATGCTCAATATTCTGGTTTTTTTTGTAGCCATTCGTCGTTATTTATCTTAGCTATCTACGAATAGCATCGTAAATTTCTATAGTAGACAAAAATAATCAAATCAAGTGAACATAAATTCAAACCTGTTCATTATTTAATAAATGTATCATACTTTTGTTTGTCAATAAATAAAAGTAATATAGATTATGAAGTAAGTATGATGAACTTTAGATTAATGTTACTGATGACACGATATGCATTGATTAAACTGAATTTTATGATTGATAGAAACCTATATTGATAATATGTCTCGAATTATATTTTAACAAACGAATAAAAAGAGGATAATTAATGAACATTAACTTCATTTGTTTTTCAACATGACGGTCTGTTCTGTGTGGTGTACTACACGGTACTTGGTTGATTTTATCTTAGCATGAAACGCATCCATCTATTCTCATTGCTACGATCAACTTTTCTCACTGTTTTGTTCGATGATATTTATACTTTTTATCGTTATAAACACTATGAACAAAACCGTCAATAATCTCATACCGTTGAACAACTAGCGAAAAGTTCAGTATTGATCCTCGGAACGTTCTTCTCATCGTCATACTTATATATGGTATTTAACATTTTTAAAATTGATAGGGAATAAGAAACAAATTAATCAATTACTACGAAGAATACAATTCCTCGAATTCGTCGAAGGCTTATTCAATATTGGAATCAGCAAATCTACTAGATCAACTGTGACATATGAAGAGTCCTAAATCATTATTTGATTATTTTTCAAAATTCTCATAATTTCCTCAAGTTATTATATATAGACTTCTTTTAGTCTACTTATGTAATACAATCCTTAGAAAATTTGAGTTCTTTAACTGAAAAGTATATCGCCTCATTGCTCTCAATGGATAGTCATCTGCAAAATACATTCGAATAAACGGTCGAATTTGCGTTAAAGCAAATATATTTCATACTGTTTATCCGTTTTATTCACATCGATATTTTATTGGCTTATGCCAATGGGCTACTCCTGTATGAAACGACCTTTACGATTTTCAAGATGCAATGTCCAACAAGGAAAAACTAATTAAAACGTTAATAATATATCTAAGCATCCATTAAAACGAACTCAGTAGCCTTGAAATGTTGATGATGAATACGAATCTTATGAGGAGTTATGATAATTTAAAAAATAGACATCCTTACTCTGGAGAGTAACATTTTTATTCATTAATCTTTTGATTACCTCGTCTTTTGAATACAAAGATGTATTCAACAGAAATATTGACTTCTTTTGTCCTTTGATTTATCTTCATGAGATGATATAGAGTGTATCTATTAAATAGAAGCAATATGTTTGTTTTCTGTTAATTTATAGTATAGTGGTATCTTCCAAAATGAGATTTGCACTCAAATATCACACAACTTCAATGAGTAATAACTTTTGGCAGTATTCTTTCAGAGAGCATTGTGCTTTTCTGCCGTCAATCCGTTCACTCATTCAGCCTTTATTTAACAGAAATAACCTCATCAACAAAAATCTTCACTCTATTTGTTGAAAAAAAGTGATATCAAGTCATCCGATAATGTTAAATACCAGCAATAATACATCAATAAGTAATCATACGGGATCGGATCTGCTAGCTACTTATTATCCCATTGACTCTTATTATTGTTGGTACTCTATTCAATTTTTTTACTTTTGCTATTCTCTGGCGACCAATTTTTCGAGATACAAAAAAACGACCAACAATTCATTATATACGAACAATAGCTATCTTTGATATTCTTATGTTATATGGATGGAATTTCGATCATTATCTTTCTGATGCATATGGATTTATGCTTCAAACTTATTCAATACCATTCTGTAAGTTTTGTTCATTTTTAAATTATTTTACAGCACAAGTTTCAGCTTGGTTACGTGTTTTTATTTGTCTTGATCGATATTTATCATTAAGTCATCGTCATAAAACATGGTTTAGTCAATCAAGAAATGTTCTTATTATTATTATATTCATCATTATAGTTTTTACTATTATTAATTTTCATTTTTTTTTATTTGCTTGTTATTATAATGAACATGGCACAATGGATGCACAAGCTCGTCACTATCAAATATATTCATTATGGGATTATATGAATTTAGGTCTTTACAATTGTGCACCATTTATTTTTATGATTGTATTTAATAGTGGTGTAATATATCATTTGATTTATCTTCGTCAAACAAATACAATTCAAAAATCTTGAATTCAACATCGTTCTATATCGTTGACATTAGTGATCACAACATTTCTCTTTTTAATAATGACCATACCTGCTACAGTTTCTTTTGGATTTTTTTCTTCTACTGCAGATTCTTTTGTTTTACATTTATTTGATTCAATTCTGTACACATATCATATATTATCATTTCCTATATATTTGATTACATTTAAAGAATTCTGAGACGAAGTTATAAAATTAGTATCATGCACCAAGTGGTGCAATACTCAACCATCTTCGATAGCTACCAAGTCTGCGACTGGTCAAGCATAACAAGTAGAAGCAAGAAAAGACTTATTTAATATTTGTGTGTACGACGAGTAGTGTGTGATATGTCACTCAGTTCATATTGCTGTTGGAATTACTTGGAAATATTTAAGGAATCTCTCAAAATAAAACGATGTTTTAATTTCGTAATCAAGCATTTATTGCTAGATTTAATCAGCTTTTGCTTTTGTGAGTTTTGAATGTCATAAAAAAATACATCTTACTCTCATGTTCTCTACTTTGTATCAATAAATGTATTGATATAAAAGGTTAATATATGATCGAAGATTTCACCAGAAGTGAAATTTACACACAACATAATTATAGTTATCCTGGGATATGATATTGTATGGAAAAAAATGATGATAATTAGAAGATCTTCATGGAGTCATCATAGTTTTGCTGATATTTCTCAGAAGACTTAGAAATAATTCAGCAAACTCGCAAAAGTATCGAATATAGATTTCAACAAATTGTATAATAGTTCTTTTGTATTCAGTAAACTTTTCAAAAAAATAAATAAATACATTTTTCTGAGTAAATCATTATTGCTTATTATTTTCGAACTATGAACATTTTCGACAATATATTCAACTCTTTTTAATGTTTATTATGTTGTATCAACTGGTCAACATTCAGCAACGTAAAAAACCAAAACCAATACTTAATTATACTCTTGAAGTGAATGTATTTGATATTCTTATGTTATAGGAATGGAATTTTCATCATGATGTCGATGGTATATATAATTTTATTCTATAGAATATTTTTAATCCTTGTATTTGAATTATAATTGCATCTTTTTTGCTAAGAAATCACTACTAATTTTGAATGTTTTTTTTTGTATGGAATTCTCGATATATATCGTTTGATATCAGTTCCAATAAATAGGATGGCTTTTAATGAATTTCAATAAGAATAGCTTGTGATCATTTCATGCAACAGTAGTCAAGCAAATGTCGCAGCTTCATTTATTATTCAATAACGTAGATGAAATAAAGCCTAAAGTATATTGTATATTAAACAAAAACTATTTCAATCTTAATAGTTTTAATGTAGAAATCGAACACTGTATTGTAGAAATATCTCTCTGAATAATTTACACCTTGATGTCGTTAGTTTTAATGTTGTATGAGATTTTCGTTTTATGTAACTTTTAGTATAATCATTGTGAATTGTCATTTGTGTATGTATTATGAACATTATTTAGAAACTTTAATATGAGTCGTTTATATTATTGATCGAAATAAAAATCTCAATAAAAGCTTTCTTTTTTTTGAAAAACTAGCTTGATCTCAATTGTGTCTTTTGTACTTCAAACTCAATACACTATGAAGTACCCATAAGAAATGCACACCAGGATTTCAAAATACAATATATTTTTTCTAATAATCGTATTCTAGTTACTATGATTTCTAGTTTAATAAATCGATTCAGAATGACATTACTAATGTCAATAGATGATTACTACGTATTATCAGGTTTCGTTGCAAAAGATTCTATCGATGATGTTTAGTTGTGCATGTCGTTTTTTTCTCGCTACCCACGTACAACTTACATCTTTCAGTAAAATTCACTATGATTTTCTCATGAAATACAAATATTTATTCTACTACTGAATAGTGTACTTTCAAATGTATATAGGAATCATGAAGATGAGCATTTTATATTCTACTGAAAATGGTTTTGAAGAAAAAACGTTGAAAAGTTTAGTATAATCCAGAAGTTGTTAAGCATATTCTCAAAAAGATTTACAGTTTTCTACTTTCTAATAGTAGTCAAAAAGTATTTACCATTACTTTCATTGCATGAGAAATACTTGAACAATTCAAAATTCAGCAAGAAATATCCATGGATACAACTCCTTTGGAGGTTTTTCATAATTCACCAAGACCTACTGATAGACAGCATATTAGCTTAAAAGAATGTGGACATCTGGATGTATCATCCAATACAAAAGAATACAATCATAACATTTATTTTGCAAAACAAAAAGTTATAAACCAATGAATTTAAATCTTAAAAGATTGTTCTAAACACTATTTAAAAAAATTAGTTAACTAGAGTTTAATTATTAATTAATGAAGCACTCTAGAGCAATAAGTTTGCATCGTTCGCTATAGATCTTGATTAATAGTTTTACTACATGACATACGTTAACAAAATATCATCACTGAGAAACTACACATGATGCTGTTGAAAACTGTTCTTTGAGAAGGAAGTAACTAAATAGAAAGATGTTTTTTTTTTACATTCGAATATTCTATAGATTGTACTGGCAACTTTTTAATTAAATAGAAAGTATTTGGAATAGATTTTTATTTATGCATACGGAAAATATTTTGCTCAAGTAGGAATTTATCCATATAGATTATTTGAAATGACATGATGTGCTGAAAAACTGTAGATGATGAGCAAGTAAAAGAAGAGTATTTTCTAGTATATCACGAAGTACATAGTATACAAGACAAATCCAATGGAGTCTATCATTGTAATCCATAAGATGGATGTGAAACATTGGTATTTATTCCATTTTGATCATTATTTCTTATTTTTTTTTTAAATAGCTCATTTAATAACAACTACGGAGTATTGACAGCTTGGGATTGCAATTAAAAATTTATAAACTAATAATAACGCAAGTTGCTTATCACTAAAGAAAATTTCTTTTTTTATTCTTTCTAAAACTGTTTTTTAATTTTACAAAGTATGCATCTCATCATTTCAGTAATGAACTTTAGTAGTAATAATTTATAAACTTATTGTCCTACTTATTCACTTTAGTTTTTTTTCTTTTTTCACTATTTCATTAATAAAAATTTCTTTTAAAAAAACATCTCCATCAACATTAACTACAGCAAAATTCTCACAACAAATCAGAGAAACTTATTTGATTATGTTATGGTTCAATAGCAGTAATGCATCAACAGAAAGTGTCGATGAAAAATATAAATTTGTTACTTATTATCCATTGACTCTTATTATTGTTGGTACTCTATTCAATTTTTTTACTTTTGCTATTCTTTGGCGACCAATTTTTCGAGATACAAAAAAACGACCAACAATTCATTATATACGAACAATAGCTATCTTTGATATTCTTATGTTATATGGATGGAATTTAGATCATTATCTTTCTGGTGCATATGGATTTATGCTTCAAACTTATTCAATACCATTCTGTAAATTTTGTTCATTTTTAAATTATTTTACAGCACAAGTTTCAGCTTGGTTACGTGTTTTTATTTGTCTTGATCGATATTTATCATTAAGTCATCGTCATAAAACATGGTTTAGTCAATCAAGAAATGTTCTTATTATTATTATATTCATCATTATAGTTTTTACTATTATTAATTTTCATTTTTTTTTATTTGCTTGTTATTATAATGAAAATGGCACAGTGAATATACAGGCTCGTCACTATCAAATATATCCATTATGGGATTATATCAATTTAGGTCTTTACAATTGTGCACCATTTATTTTTATGATTGTATTTAATATTGGTGTAATATATCATTTGATTCATCTTCGTCAAACAAGTACAATTCGAAAATCTCGAATTCAACATCGTTCTATATCGTTGACATTAGTGATTACAACATTTCTCTTTTTAATAATGACCATACCTGCTACAGTTTCTTTTGGATTTTTTTTTTCTACTGCAGATTCTTTTGTTTTACATTTATTTGATTCAATTCTGTACACATATCATATATTATCATTTCCTATATATTTGATTACATTTAAAGAATTTCGGCAAGAAGTTTTTCTATTGATAATTCCTTGCAAATAATTTAGAATTTAATTCACTAACTTGACAATTAATAGCAAGAAGAGAAGAGAATAGTGAGAATTAAATTTTTGTTTAAAATTTAAAATTAACATATTTTTATATTTGTTTTTTCTTCTGTATAATATTATATTGTATCAATTTAAAATTTAAAAAAAAAAAACTTTTATCTTATGGAACATTCTCTTGAAAAAAATTTTAATAAATTGTTATTAACTGATTGTCTTTTGTTCTATTGATGTTCGTTTTTGTTGTAAATAACATGCATTAAATACAGAAGAAACATAAGAGAATAAGAAAAAAAGAAGGAAAAAAAAGAAGAAAAGCCGATAACACACATTCAAAGTGATTTGATATCCATATATATATATATATTCCATAAACAGAGACGATAAGTCTTGAATGAAAACAACGGTAGACAAATAAGAAGAAGAAAAAAAAAGAAAGAAGAATATTGCGAGTGATAAATTACGCATATATGAATTTGATATATAATAATAATAGTAATAATAATAATAATAATAATGTACATATAGATTAAACATTGCCCTCTACAGTCATAATTAAAGGATTAACATATTCAAAACCTTCAAATTCTGATTGTTGAATACGTGCTAAAACTTCATCATCTTCAGGTGTTAAAACAACAGCTTCATTTGTAAATTGTGGATCAAAATGTGAAAGATCTTTATCTTCCGTTAATATTGGTTTATATGGTGGAATAATTTGCCTTGATTCTAAACGTTGCCAATCAATAGCTGGATAAAAGAATGGATGTAAACATATATCTTGAAAACCAGCTTGACAACCTAATATTGGATCATAACGACAACCTAAACGACATCGAGGATCTTTATTAAGAAAACCTTCTAAAACATTTTTGGCTTTAACAGTTAATGAACGTGGAATACGTATTGGTTGTTCAAGTATAACTTGAAATAGACGATCTTCTGTATTTAAATCTGGATTTTCAGCTGAACCAACTATTTCAAATGGTGATCGTCCAGCCATCATTTCAAACATAAGTACACCTAGAGAAAACCAAATTAAATCATATAATACAATTTTCGTAAAGAATTTCAGAATACTATTAAGCATTTGATGTCTATCCGACATAAAATATCCAACGACAAAAAAGTTCTCGAGTATTTTCCGTTCGATTTATACTGTATTTTTTTTTTCTTCTATTACAAGTATGTTTTTTTGTAATGACACTTTCCGTTGGAAAATGCTCATCATCAACATGAAGCTGTGAAAAAGTACTGTGAAAGAGAAAATATTGCCTTTATTTTGCTCATCGTAAAGAACAGAATAAATTCGATCAAATAACATATTTTCGAACTTTGTCACATATCGAATATCTGTACTAGATAACAGCGCAAAGCAAAATTCTATCTTTATTGATTTTTATTGTTTGATGTAAAAATAATTAAGGTTCCATTTCGTCGAAGTTACCGTGCTCTTCAAAATGAGTAACACAAACAAATCGGTGAAATCTCTTCTCTTTCACAACTGCTTGCTCCCTCGACTGTAGGGAGGGTCATATGAAAAAAATAGTTTGTGTGTCTGCATCCGGGTCAACAAAACATCGAGGTCAAAAAGAAACTTCCACTTTAAAGAATTTTCCATAAAGGTTGACGAAAGTAAATCGGGGTCGGGGAATCTGAATCTGAAGTCAGTTTCTCGAAATTTTCAATTGATTTTTTAGGTTGAGGAAAGGGTTTTTTGTGAAAATAACGATATTGTATAAAGGTTGACGAAAACAAATCAAGTTCGGAGAGTTCGAAGCTGAGGTCAGTTTCTCGAAATTTTGAATTGAATTTTTTTGGGTTCAGGAGAAAAGGTTTTTTTTTGAGAAAATAAATTTTTTCTCAAGTGTAGGAACGGTTATATGAAATAAAATAAGTTTTTGTCATAGTGGAAGGTGAAACATCATAAAAAACGTTGGCTAAGTATTCGATTCTCGTGCTTTTAATATTGAATTTTCAACCAATTCAATTTTTCAGAATGAAAATTCAGTCAATCCGACATATGTGATAAAATCTCCCTTAATCAGCTGTTTCATAACTGGGTGTCCATGGATGAGACTTGTATACTTCTGTCTGATACAGTCAAGGGTCAAGTGAGTCGAACCGACGAACATTACTTGTTGATAACTCACATTTTACAGCGAAATATTTCGTTAGGAAAATGATATCTGCAATAGTCAGTTTTTCTATTAATACTATTGGAATCAAAGAAAAGTTACCGAATGAATAGAACTATTTATCGTTGAATATTTTGTGTTTGATAAGTATCAGAGGGTAATAATTCGTTTATTCAAATAAACATGAGAGTTTGACGAATTATAATGGTAAACATATGTTTATATTCAAAATCAAATTAATCTTTTCTTGCCTTTGATTAAGAGTCTGACGGTTCGTAGCGAGAACTCACTCAACAATAATCAATCTTATGGCTCCTAGTATAGACAACCAACAAAAAAAAAAGATTAAACTATTAAGGAATAATTATGAAAATGTTTTAGAACTTTTTATGTAAAAACTATATTATAAATAAAACTTTTATAATTTACCTAATGCCCACCAATCGACACTAAAATTATAATCATGATTTCTTAACATTTCTGGTGCTAAATAATTAGGTGTACCACAAAATGTACTTGTTCGTTCATCACGTTTAAAATCTAAACCTTCTTTACACATTCCATAATCAGTTAATTTAATATGACCATCAGCATCAAGTAAAACATTATCTAATTTTAAATCACGATAAATAACACCATGTTCATGTAAAAAATGTAAAGCAATTGTTATTTCTGCCGCATAAAATCTAAAATCAAAAAAAAAAAATTTTCTTTATTTTTTTTTTCACTTATTATTATTATTATTTTTAACCTAGCACTTGATTCAGGCAGTTTTCTTTGTCGTTGCATATGATACATTAAATCACCACCAGTAACAAATTCAATAACAAAAAATAATCTTGATGGAGTTTGAAAACATGAATGTAAACCAACAAGAAATGGATGATTTGTTGCTTTTTCAAAAACATTTTTTTCACATTGTATCCAATCAATATCTTCATCATCATTAACAATAGATTTTTTTATAACTTTCATTGCATATAAACGTGGTGGTTGTTGTTGTTGTTGATTATTTGAATTATTACGTAAATATCGTGGTCGATATTCAGCTAAAAAGACTTTAGCATATGAACCACGTCCAATTACTTTTAATAATTCAAAATCTTGTAAACATATTGATGGAGAACCCGATGGAGAACTCTGCATATTACCACTTACATCTATATAATTGCTATTTGTACCACTTGGATCATCAATAGGAGAATGACCAAGATCAGTTAAACCTAAATATTATATAAATTTCATATTGATTTTATTTATTGTGATATGATGAAGTACTACTATATTAAAATTAACTAATATGAATTTATAATATCAAGAAAAAAACTATAAATAAATGAAGAAAAATTAAAACTGAGATAAGTGCATGAAAAGATTGTCTAAATTTTGATCTTTCATAACCGATATTTTTTATCGTGTATCTCGTTTTTTTTTTTTGACAAATATTTTTAATGATTCCCACTGTCTTATACTTTGAAAAAATATGCTTCAGATAAAGCGAAAAATCTTTTTTTGTCTATGTATACTTTTCTGATCGAGTATTTTAGAATTCTCGAAGAAGCCTTACTGTTGTCAATGGCTTTCTCTAGTATTGAAAAGAGACATGTAAAGTTGTAATGTTTAGAAAATCTCCTCGTTTTTAATTAAGCTTTTTAATTATTATACAAAAAAAAGTATTTCTATAAATACATAATTATTTTTAAGTTTTCGAGGGATTGAACTTGTTTTTCTTTTTCTTCGAGTAAGAATTAGGATAAAATGCTCTGCTGAGCATTACACTTTGATATGTTCTTTCTAATAAAAACAATGTTAAATCTACAGAATAGAGATTAATAGAGAATTTTTAACTTGCTAAATGAACTATTTTTGATTCTTGGTTGATGAATATTTGTTGAAAATATCATGATATAGGGCTCAAAAATTTTACCATAGTTTCTTGTCTATAACATTTATATTTACTGAAAATTTGATAGGATTTAAATGTATCTGAATCTTTTATAGAGTCGTCTTAACTTATCATTTTTGTGAATTTGACTAAAGATATTTTTATTAACTTATACCTTGTGCTCGTTTTAATGGTCCAGGTTCACAAATACTTGACATTTTTTGTTTTGTCATCGGATCTCGAGCATTCATAACACTAGCACCAGCTGGTCGATGTCGACCAATTTTATCCATAGTTCCATTTTGTTGTTGATTTTCATTTGATTTTTTATTTGATAATAATTGTTGTCCATTTGTTGTTATACTACCTGTTGATGTATATCGTCCATTTGAATCCATCATTTTTGGATGATGTGGTGATGAACCTGCTGATGTTGTACCACAAACAATACATAAACGTTTTACACATCGTTTATGTACAAGAACCTTTTTTTTTTTTTAAAAAAAAAATAAAAATTTTTTATTATTCATCTATGAAGATTTTATTTTATCGTCGTTTTTTTTTTTTGGAAACATACTCGACAATCAAGACATTTATAACCTTGTCTACCTAAACCCCATAAACGATCATTACAAACAATACAAGCAGCTGTTGTACTAAATCTTTTAGCTTGATAACGATGTCCATTAATTAAATAAAGTTTTTTCCAACGACGTGCACCACGTCTATATATAAGTGGATCTTCACCTGGACATAAAAGTCCTGGTTGTTCGGGACGATTTGGAAAAACATGTATATGTAATTCTTTATCACCATTTTTTGTATATAAACGTATAGCTGTATTTAATTCTCTTTGTGATGACATTGTTATTGCATCTAATGATTCATCAAGCCATTTAACAGTAAATGTTGGTGGATCAGTTAATATTAAATGACATATTGAACATAAATTATTATAAAATGATTCTAATG